TACGTTTTCGTCCATTGATGCAGCCGACAATGCGCCGACGCGAGCGTTCGCGTGGCGGCTTCTGTTGGGTTCCCAATAGGAATGTCGCCGTGTTGGCCTGCTCACTGAAGCGACCCTTTTCTAGCGCATGCCGATTTGCCTTCCAGGTTGGAATGCGGTCTTTACGTTTTCGTCCATCGGTGCAGCCTACAATGTGCCGACGCGCGCGTGTGGCGGTTTTTGTATTGTTCGCGATTTGAAAATTGCCACGCGCGGGTCACTGCAATCTGGGCATCCCCCTCTGGATGCCCAGAGTGCACTCACCAGAGTGCATTCTGGTGAGTGCATGGGACTGAGAGTGCACTCGTGGTGGGTGCGCGCGCCGAGTGTCGGCGCTGAATGTCGGCGCCGAGTGTGACTGCCGAGTGCCGGCGCCGAGTGTCGGCGCCGAGCGTCGGTGCCAAGCGTCGGAGACGATCGTCGTTGACGCGCCGAGTGTCGGCGCCGATCGTCGTTGACGCGGGGTGTCTCTGAAGACCTGCCCCCCCGCGCGAACCCAACGCAAGAATCTGCCCTTGGACGCGGAGTGCCACGGCGCTCGCCGGGACGTCCCCGGCGGTCCGGTTTGCCCCGCCTTCTGTTTATCTTCTAGATGCGCACTACAGCGCCGAGAATATTTGTTGTTCAATTGTCTCCCCCCCGATTAAAGAATATGTTTGTAGACATTACATATATACACGCGTACATGTATGATACTAGAGAAAACCCAAACATATTTGTTTCAGGGCTAGAAGGCAACAGGGCTATACGGCTATGGGGCTGTGGGGCTGTGTGGCTATATATATATATATATATATGTATGTCTGTCTGTCTGTCTGTCTGTCTGTCTGTCTGTCTGTCTGTATGTATGTATGTATGTATGTATGTATGTATGTATGTATGTATTATATATATAGCAGACTCAGGGGGCCGAGCGGTCATTCGCTGTCCTTGGGCGCGTGGCCGATGTGAGTTGCTGCGGTGCGGATTGTTGTTGTTTGCCGGCCCGTGACCCACCCGCGGCCCACCCGCGCCCCACCCGCGGCCCACCCGCGACCCACCTGCGACCCACCCGCGACCCACCCTGCGACCCACCCCGCGGCACACCCGCGACCCACCCGTGACCCACCCTGCGACCCATCGGCGACGCACCAGCGACCCACCGGCAATCTGGCCCGCGACCCACCCGCGACCCACCCCGCGACTCAACCACATTGCTTTAACTAAAAAATCGTCGCCTGCGGTGGGCTCACTGCGTAATTTGCAAGAAGTTGGGCGCTTGCGGCGGGCTTCTTCAGAGCCTCGCAGACAGCCGACGTCCTCGCCGCCCCCCCACTCTTATCCGCAATTGCGGGGTGCTACGTACAAACTGTCCCACCCGCGATCCGCGATGCTCCGAGGCCGTGCGATGTTGTAGTCCCGCGCAGACGCCTCCCGTGGAGCGATTCGACTCGCTTCGATGACGATGACGATGGTGATGATGATGATGATGATGACGATGATGATGATGATGATGATGATGATGATGATGATGTTGTTGTTGTTGGTTATGAAGCTGTGATGCTGATGCTGCTGATGATGATGCTGCTGATGACGATCATGATGGTGATGGTGATGGTAATGTCGATGGTGATGATAATGATGATGACGGTAATGGTGATGAATATGATGGTGATGTTGATGGTGGTGGTGGTGATGATGAGGAGGAGGATGATGATGATGATGATGTTGATGATATTGATTAACCTGATGAGTATGAACATGCTGATGATGCTGATGGTGCTGATGATGGTGATGCGGACGAGGATGAGTCTGATGATGATGACGATGACGATGACGATGATAATGATGACGTTGATGATGTTGATGATCGTGATGCTGATTGTTTCGGCGATGGTGGTGACGATGACGATGACGATGGCGATGACGACGATGATGATGATGAGGATTATGATGATGATGATGGTGGTGATGATGATGGTGATGATGACGACGACGACTATGCCGCCGGTGATGATGATGCTGATGATGCTGATGCTGATGTTGCTGATGATGATGATGATGATGATGATGATGGTGGTGGCGGTGGTGGTGGTGATGAGGAGGAGGATGCTGACGATGATGATTGTGCTAATGCTGATGCTTATGATGAGGATTATGATGCTGCTACTGCTGCTGCTGCTGATGATGATGATGATGATGATTTCGATGGTGATGATGATGATGATGATGATGATGATGATGATGATGATGATGATGATGATGATGATGATGATGATGATGCTAATAATGATATGCTGTTATCCTCCTCCTTCTCCTCCTCGATGGTTTTCAGTGTCTCCCTGCTCGTCTAGTCCTCGTCTCCGTGTCGTCGTCATCGTCGTTCCTAGTCCTCCTCGTTGTTGTCCGTTTCCTCCCCACGGGGTGGGTTTCGGTCAGCAGTCCTTGGACCAGACTTACCTCGTCCATCCGATCCCCGAGCCTCCTGCGTATCGAATGGCGGTTGGCCCATCCCGTCGCCGTGCCTAGGATGGAAAGAAGCCCATTGGATGTTCGTTGTGACCTCGTGGGGGGCCTTTGGGGGGCCACTTGGAAGCAGTTTGAGGCCTCTTGGGGTCCGTTTTTGGGCCTCTTGGGGCCACTGTTGGGCCTTTGGGGGGCTCTTGGGGCCTCTTGGGGGCCTCTGGAAGGCTAGGATTTTCTGTTCGTGTTCCCTCTCTTGGGCTCCTTCTAGGGCCGTCTTGGGGCCCTCTTTGGCCGTCTTGGGCACCTCATGGGCCATCTTGGGGCCTTCTTGGGCCGTTTTGGGGCCATCTTGGGGGCCTCTCGGGCCGTCTTGAGGCGATCTCGGGGTCTCTTTGGCCGTTTCGGAGCGTCGGGAAGCCCAAAAGGCGAGACAATTTTAGGAACACCAATGCTTGTTGCCTTATGGGGCCCTCTTGGGATGCCTCTTGGAGGCCTCTCGGGGCGTCTTGGGGGCCTCTTTTTCCCGTTCGGAGGCTATTGCGAGCGCCTTGGAGCGATCACTCGGCGACTCGGGACCCTCTTGGCCCGTCCCTGGGGCCTCCTGGGGTCTGCCCGGCCCGTCATGCGGCAAAGCCGCGGGGCAGCCCGGGGGGCACGCGCCTAGCCCCGGAAGGTTTCGGAAGCTGGGGCCCGGGCCCCGTGAAGACGGCTGCTCCAGGGATGAGAGGCAGAGGGCTCGAGGACGCGCCCCCTCCGTGGCCGGAGGCACGGTAGCGGATGTGCCTCGGGCGCTGCGTAATGGGGGATCATAAATGGGGGGGTGGCGAGTGTGGTCCGAAAAGGTACCCAAACGGTACCTAAACGAGCCCCCTGGGGTTCTGGAGGGACCCGAAAGGGCACGAAAGGGGACCTTTTCTGACCCCCCCATTTGTGACCCCCCATTAAGCCACGCCCAAGTGCCACACAGGCACGCCAGATCTGCTGTCTTCACCTGAGGTGGTGCCGACGGGTCCCGGGGCAGGCAGTCGTGCAATGGCGGGTCCAGATTTGCGGCGAGGGCCCTTGAAACTCGGAAGTGTGGATGGTCAATCCGCCAGTTGTATCTAGAGATCATGTTACCCAGAGGGTCGTATATGGCCCGCTGCCCTATGCAGTTCAGATGCTTGGCTGTGCTGAGAGACACGCGATCAAGATGGGATCCACTTACCAATCAGATCGCGATAACTTTCCTTGGTCCCGGAGGGTTCGAGTTGGAAGTTCAGCACACCTGTTGCCTGCACACCGTGTCATCGACGGAATTGTTGCCGCCTGTTGCCGCTCAAGTGAAGGTTGGCTCGGCAACGCCTGGGCTGACTTCTTCGCGAAGTGTGGAACGGCCTCCCCCATGGTAAACGAGACTGTCAGCGCGAGAACGTTTCGCGCTGGTGGAGCATAGGAAGGGGCAGGCGTATATTGTGTGTAGTGCGCACAAGGTTATCGTGTCCCAGGTGTACGTTAAGGATAGTTTCCCCGAGGCGAAGGCTTCGAAAAGATACCCCCGTGTTATTCCAACTTCCGGATGACCATAAGTTTATGTGGCGTCGGTGTTTGGAAGTGCATCGGTGACGAAGATATGGTACCACGGTCCGTATTGCGTTGTCTGTGGGATCCATGAGATCCGGAGGAGGGTGAGAATGTGCCCAAAGTGCCCTCGCCCGCACCCCGAATGCGGCGTTCTGGAGAACCGGGAGCCCCTGAATGACCCTCGCGTTGCCTCGGCTCTCGCCGCCGCTGCTGCAGTCCATGAGCCCCAGGGCGTGGAAGCCCCGCCTGGGGTTCCCGAACCCGATGGGGACCCTTCCCAGCAGCTGGAGGCCGTCGAGGCTTCGGACGCGGGGGCCGAGGCCCTTCCCTCGGAGTCTTGGACATCTTGCCGCGCGATGTGCGGTTACTGTAGGAGCTCCGATTGGTGTCTCGGGCTCTCAGAGAATCCGAGCATCCATCGGAACCAGCTCACGGCCATCGATCGAGTCAGCCGTGGGCTTGAGCCCCGTCAGAGAAGCGGGTAGTCCCACTGCTTGGGCGATCTGTCCGGCAGAGGGCTCCGCGGACAGATCCCTGACGAGCCTCTGGAGGCCCAGGTGTGCCGGGTGTGGCGGTTTTCTTGACGCCCCGCCCCCTCTTGGTGCCGAGTTTATGACCGCCCCTGCACTTCTCTTAGGTTCCCCTATCTCATCCTGAGGTGTATTCGTTCGCGGATGAACTCTTGGTTGCCCTGCTTCTCCTCCTCCTCCTCCTGCTCCTCCCCCTCCTCCTTTTTCACGCTAGACCGACACTGGGAGCGAGCCTGTTGCGTTATCTTTCTCCTCCTCCTCCTCCTCCTCCTCCTCCCCCTCTCCACCGTCTCCTCCTCCTCCTCCTCCTCCTCCTCCTCCCCCTCTCCACCGTCTCCTCCTCCTCCTCCTCCTCCTTCTGCTCCTCTTCTCGATGTCGTCCTCCTCCTCGTCCTTGCCGCCCGCTGGTCGTCCGCGCTCGAGGTGGGGGCAAAGGTGACAGCAAGGGCAGCTTCAGCAACTCGGACCCGCCACCCGCGAGGGGCGAGGAGGAGAGTGAGGGAGGGCGGAAAGGGCGGAGGGAGGGGATGAGGGGGGGGAGCAAGGGGAGGGATGCAAGCTAGGTGCGCTCGCGTCATATCTGGCGTCCTACCCCTCCCCCCCATCCCTTACCATGACGCAGATCTCCTCTCTATTCGCACAATCGGGTGTCGTAACATGGCATAGCATTACATGGCATAGCATGGTGTTGAAGATAGCATGACATAGAATGGCGTGGCGACTCCCCAAAGTTGAGAGGGGGGTCTGCGGCACGAAATATCAACGAATTGACACCGCTAATCACTTCCGATGGTTTCTTCGGGATGCCTTTTTCTAGATTTTGGGGCCGACTTGGAAGGACCGACAAAATGACGCCAGCGCTGCAGCGGAAGCACGGTTCGGAAGGAGCGGAAGCGCGGAAATGAGGCCAGCGTAGCAGTGTGAGCACGATTCGGAACGAGCGGTAGCTCGAACATGAGGCCAGCGCTAAACAAACCCAAGCGCGGAAATGAGGACGCGAAGCTTGGCACAGCATGGCGTGGCGACGCCCAAAAGGGGGGGGCTTCTGCGGCCCAAACAATAAACGAATCGGCACTGAATGTGTAATCATTTCCGATGGTTTCTTCGGGATCTATGTTTTAGATTGTTGGGCTTATTTGGAAGGACCGAAAACCATGCCGTGGCATGGCGCTGGAAATGATGACCCCAGCGCTGCAGCGGGAGCACGGTTCGGAACGAGCGGCAGCGCGGAAATGAGGCCAGCGCTGGAGCGGGAGCACGGTTCGGAACGAGTGGTAGCCCGAAAATGAGGCCAGCGCTGGAGCGAAAGCTGGATTCTTTGTTGTTCCACTGAAAAACAGAGCAAACCAAAAGCAAACGCGGAAGCGCAGAAGTGAGGACGCGTAGTCTGACATAGCATCGCGTGGCGACGCCCTAATGTGGGGGGTGGGGGCTTCTGCGGCCCAAACAATCAACGAATCGGCACCGAATGTGGAATCATTTCCGACTGTTTCTTCGGGGAGCTATGTTCTAGATGTTGGTGTTTATTTTGAAGGACCGGAAACCATGCCGTGGCATGGCGCTGGAAATGAAGACCCCAGCGCTGCAGCGGGAGTGCGTTTTGGAACGAGCGGAGGCGCGGAAATGAGGCCAGCGTTGCAGCGGGAGCACGATTCGGAACGAGCTGTAGCCCGAAACTTAAGCCAGCGCTTCAGCGAGAGCAGCATTTTCAAAACATACAAGCGAACACCCGTGTCCCGGGAATCCTGTGTGTGCAGAAGCAGTACGCGGAGTGGGGGCGAACATTTCCCGGACGCCACCAGAGGAGAGAGGAGAGTGGTATTCATATTGTGTAATGGAGGGAGGGGAGGAGGGAAGGGAGGGATTCGAGTGATTCGGCCATCACGTAGCATCATCGAATGACAGGGCACGCGCCCTGACCCTGAATACGCACAGGACGGCAAGGAAAACGAATCGCGCGCATCAGAGGAGCATTGTCACGAATGCCACATGCCAACACTTGCGGAAAACCATGGCCCCCCGATGGAGAGGGGGGTGGGGGAAGGAAGGCAGGCTTGGCCCGGGTGGCCATACCGCAGTTCCGCCGATCAGATCCGCAGATCGATCAGATCCCAGGCGGACAGCTGGCCTAGAATGGGTCAGGCGCCGGGGTTGCGGTTGCAGAGGGGAGGTGCACGAGGGGGAGCAGGAGGAGGGGGTGGATGTGCAGCTGGAGGGGGAAGCAGATGTAGCAGAGGGACGGAGGGGCGGAGGAGACTTAGGACGGGATGAGGAGGAACAGGGGGAGGAGGGGCGATGAGGCGTAGGAGGAGGCGGTGGGAGGGAGAAAGGGGGACGCGTAGGTCAGTTGCAGCGTTGGCAGGGGCCAACAGCCCACCCTGGCCAGGAGCGTGGGGATTCGCTGCTGGGGGGCCTTCGCCGATCTGTCGGCGATGTGCCGCCGATGTAAGCTCCGTGTTTCCCCTCCTGAGCCATTTTCCCCCTCAATGTTCCTCCTAACTAGGAGGAGGCACAGGGATGGTGATGGTGATGATGATGATGATGATGATGATGCTGATGCTGATGCTGATGCTGATGCTGATGCTGATGATGATGCTGATGCTGATGCTGCTGATGATGATGAGGATGATGATGATGATGATGATGATGCTGATGCTGATGCTGATGCTGATGATGATGCTGCTGATGATGATGATGCTGATGATGATGCTGATGATGATGATGATGAGGATGAGGATGATGAGGATGATGATGATGCTGATGACGATGATGATGATGATGATGATGATGATGATGATGATGATGATGATGATGTTGATGATGATGATGATGATGATGATGATGATGATGATGATGGTGATGATGATGATGATGATGATGATGGTGGTGGTAATGCTGATGGTGATGGTGATGATGATGATGATGATGAGGCTGATGATGAT